CCATTTGCAGACAAGACTGTCACCATTATCGAGCCATGCCCCACGAAGACGTCGGTGCTGGCGCTGGCCGTTACCTGTGCGCTCATGATCCTGCTCTATATCTCCACATTGTTCTGCTACTACATGAAGAAATGGATGCAGCCGCACAAAATCGTAGCATAAGTTTAGGCGCACACAACACTGAAAAAAAAAACAATAACAAAATGAAAACAGAAAAGAAAAGAAAAGAAAAGGAAAACAAAAACCATACACAACACAAATTTGTCACCAACACAGACACCCACGCATACATCCATAATACACCCACACACACACACAGGCACACACACAACTACTCTCTCACACGCTATGTCTATTTCTCTCGCCCATGGCACGCTTGTCAGCGCTCAGCGCTCTCTCACGAGAGAGAAACCGTTAATGAGAGCAACAGCGCAGTTAATCAGGAAACGGGCTTCAGCTTCGGCATGCAATAGAAAATCTCAAAAGAAGAAGAAGAGGAACATAAACTAGAAAGAATCCCAACAGCACACACACACACGCACACACAGACACACACGCACATAGAGCAGCTGCCTGACAAGCGTATATTTTTTGTTTTTTTTTTTTTTTTAATTAATTACTATATATACAATTTATTTATTTATATTTATTTAGATTTAGAGCGTGAGTTAATTCCAGCAATTGGTTTGGCGATGCGTTCGCCTGCCCTAAGCCTATTTTTTTATAAACAAAAAAAAAAAAAACGTATTTTCTAAAGTTTAGTAGACAAAGCAGAAAGCGAATAAGCGAATTGCACATTTACATTTATGCGATTATTTAATTTACAAATTTAAAATGAAAGAAAAGGATGGAAAGCAAAACGCATATTGAAAACTGCGAGCGCGTACTTTCTATAAAGTTACGAAAGAGACGCCCAAACGAAAGGAAAACGCAAAAGAGACAGAGAGATAGAGAGAGAGAGAGAGAGAAAGATAAATAGATTGAATAGTGAGCTTTAAGCTCAATCGATCGATCTCTTTTGTAACTTGTATAGAGACTGCGGCCGCAGAAGCACATAATCACATACACACACAAACACACACACACACACTCGCACACACATGCTCATGCAAGCCCCGCTAATTTCCCACACACACACACACGCACATACTCACATTTATTTAACTTAAAACGAAAAACAAAATAAAATTATTTAAAAGAGCACACGAAGAAAGTTAAAAACGCAAACATGGCAATAAACAAAAGAAAGTAAGACAGATAAACAAATAATGAGCGATCAGATATGAAGCGAACCTAATTTCATAGTGTGTACAATGAAATTGTGCTTAATTGTATTGCATTTATTTAATTTAAATCTATTTATGATAATAAAGAATGATAATACAAACGCAACGGATTACTCAACTAAACGGAATAATACACCATATGCCGAGAACCGCACACTTTTTTAAGAGATTTAAACCCCTCTCATAAAACTAGCGGTAAAGCTTTCACAAATAACGGTATGCATTGAGTCTATATCCCAGTCAAGCCAGTCTATTAAATGAAATTCAAGGCAATATCTTTTTTAAATGGTGTTTAATATATTTTTTAAACCAATGGTTCCGTATTAAGTAAACATTAGTGATATAAAAAAAAATATAGAGAAATACTTGATGAAATTAAGATATTTTTTTTATCCTCTCTGGTAGAAGTTCGATAAGTTATCGAAGCAGCGATAACGATTTCCCATTTAAGGCAACTCGTCATTATTTGAGTTCTAGTTGCTGTTGCGGGTGCATGTGTGTGTGTGTGTGTATTTGTATATTTTAAGTTAGCCTGGTTAATTAATTAGATGAAACTCATAGACGCTACACCAGCTGGTGAGGAACTAGCCCTTGAGGCTGGTCATGCCCGCACGCATAACCTCGTCGACTAGCAACAAATTGCTGGCAATGATGGAGCAGGAGTTAAGGATCTGCTTCTTGACAATGTAATTGTCATAGACGCCCAGGTCGGCGGGTTTCATGGGCTCGCCAGTGGCCAGATCAAGACCAACCAGTTCCGGACTGAGCCTATCCTCGACCGTTAGCTTGACAATGGTGTCCTGGGCATCATAGCCGCTGTTAATGGCCAACGTCTTGGGTATGACCAGCAGGGCATCGGCAAAGGCCTGGACGGCTAGCCGGGCCTTGCCCTTCACCGTCTCCTTATACTTGGTTAGCTCGTTGTGAGCGCGCACCTCGAAGGCGCCAGCGCCAGGCACCAGAGCCTTATCGCCAATGGTATTATTGATGGCGCGCAGGCCGTCACGGATGGCGTCCTTGATCTGGGTAATTGTGTGCTTGTTGGGACCCTTGATCAGAATTGTCACCGACAACGGATTCTTGCAGTCCTCCACGAACGTGTACTTGTTCTCGCCGAGAACATGCTCGTAAACCGACCCAGCATAGCCCAGATGTTCCTCCTGCAGATCATCGAACGAATTCATGGCAGTGCCGCCGCAGGCGAGAGCCAAACGCTCCATGTTGCGGCGCTTGGCGCGACGCAGCGCCAGAATGCCCTCCTTGGCCAGTGCATCCAAAGAGATGGGGTCGATGCCCTTCTGATTGATCAGCACAAAGGTCTTGTCGGTGCCATCGCAAACGGAACGCTTCAGCTCGATGACCTTCTTGACGCGTTGATCAATAAACTCGCGCTCGGCGCGCACAAATGCCTCACGCTCCGTGGCCGTTTTGTAAAAGAAACCAGAGTTCACTTCAGCCTTCTCGTACTCCAGCGAAACGTTGGCAGTAAGAATATAGGCCTTCTCCAGACGCTTGGGCATGTCGGGATGACGAGCGCCATGGTCCATGACCAAGCCACGCACCAGTTGCGTGTCTGTGTCGGTCTTGTGCTGCATCTCCATCAGCTCGACCATGTGCAGATCAACGGGCTGCTTCTTGTCGCCGGCAATGGTCAGCACAGCATCAACGCACACGTCCGTCAGGAGATCGGCCAACAGCGGATGCACCTTTGTCTTCAAGCTGGTGTTGGCAATTTCCATCAGATTCTTCTTGTTAATCTCGACGGGCACCTTCACCTGGTCGAGCACTTCCAGCGCCTTGTCGCGTGCCTTCTCAAAGCCTTCGGCCATAATGCGTGGATGCAAGCCCTCCGACAAATAGATGTCGGCTTGCTTCAGCAGCTCACCAATTAGCATCACCGTGGTGGTGGTGCCATCGCCAGTGGAATCATCCTGTGCGGTGCTGGCACGTGCGATCATCGAAGCAGTCGGATGCTGGATTTGCATGTCATGCAGCAGCACATTGCCATCCTTCGTGATCTTGATGTCGCCAGCGCCGGAGACAAGCCTGCAAATCATCAATGTTCATTAATTTTGAAAAGTATAAAAACAGCTATGCGTTCAACAATTCGTGACAAAGTTAAAATACCTTCCCTAGGACATTTTGAGGATACGTTTTGCATCGATAACACTATATTACGATTTATCGATGTTTAGCAGCCAACCCAATCGGGAACGTTCGAGAATGCATGCAAGACTTATGACTCTATCTCTGTCTACACACGAACATATGTTTGCAAGTGTGTGTGTGTGCGTGTGTGTTTGTGTGAGCGCGTGAGACATGGCAAGCCCAAAGAGCGAAAGAAATACTATTGTGCGCCTTGATTTGCAGCAGCACAGAAAGAAAAATGTCTCTGCACATTTAACAAGCAAATCGTTAAAGCGTCGGTTTAATTTAGCACATTCTTTTAAACAAATGCAAGTTGATTTTAATTCTTGCATTTGTAGGCTACATGCGCTATTGCCATCTCAGTCGCTCGATGACGCATGCCGCTATTCGACGGTTTTAACCTCAATTGGGCAGCGGCTGCGGCAGCGCAGCTGTCGCAAAATGTTTGTTAATAATAACGCTGCGATTATTTTAACCCTCAAATCCTTATGCACGCGCAGGAGCCGTGCTCTAAACTCAGATTTAAGTTAAGGTACTCACATTTTAACTGTGCCTTTTGGTCCCAAATTGGTGCGCATCACATCCTGCAAGCCTTTGGCGGCGCTGATGTTAATGGCCAGAGCCTGTGCAGCACGCGCAAATTCAGCCTTTGGGTTCAACAAGCTGATGGAAGCCATTTCTGTATTTCAAGTACCAACGAATACAAATTTGTTATAAATTAAATGCAAGTGCAACACACACGCCGACCAGTAGTTGGAGAAGAATAACGGAGTAATCGATGTTGCTATCGCCCCTGCTGTTTGTTACTCGCAATCAATTATTCGTGCCGCTATCGATATGCGCAGTACATTTGTTTTGCCAACTGATAAGAAGATAGTATGGTGCTCACATAAGAGGCAATCCGATTTCTACTCATCTGTTTTTTCATTGTACTTTTAATGGTCAGGATTATACAGGCTAGATGAAATGCCAGAGGAATATAGCAAAGGTTAGTGTTTGCTTTTCTAATTTATATATAACTAATTATATATCTAAAACATATCGATATATTTGCAAGCGCTGCACTCAACTCAATGAAACTAGCAAGTGGACAGTGCCAAATAAAAACATGTTTGCTTTTCTAGTTGTCCGACAATGCTCTAATTACATTAAATATTAAAACTTAAAGATAGATGTTATGTATGGAAAATCAAAATGTGTTTCGCGTTATTTGATCTTGTGAAATAATTTGATTCTTTAGTTTATGATTTAATTTCATTGGCAATATACATGCTAACAAATCATAAACAAGTTTTCAAACGACAAATGTATATGAATTTAAATATTTGTTAAGCCATTTGGCTAGCATATCTATAAGGCTCCGATAACGATAACGATAAACAAACCAATACATAGCACGCATCACTAAACGAAACCAATTCGGCGACAATTTTTTTTTTTGTTGAAAGGAATTACCATAAAAATCAAATCAGTGCAGTGCTCCCGCATAGCCAGCGCGAAACGGGACGCCAAACAGATTGAAAACAAACAGTTCAAGGTGGAATAAACAAAGTCGCGTGGGGCACAATGAGTGTGTTGGCATATCCACGTAAAAACGATGAGGAAATTTTTCGTCAGTGCACAAAGGATTGTGGCGTTGTGACGGCCACCGAGGATTTTCAGTATTTTGCATTATGCTGCATTTTTTGCAGCGAGAAGTTTCTCTACTTCGATGCGTTCATTGGCCACATGCAAACTGTGCACATGGAGGATGCACAGCGCAGCACTGAGGGTCCCAGCCCTGGCAATAGCTTGCCTTTCACCATGGGCCAGCCCATGTCGCTGGGCATAGCCGATGGCGATGACGAGGAGGAGGCACATCATGGCTATGGCAACGGTGGCATGCACCAGTTTGATGAGATCGAAGACTTGACCGATGCAGACACTGCCCTGCTGGAGCCCCAAATGGTTATCAAACAGGAGCTGCAAGAGCTCGAAAGCAGCGACAACGAGGATGAGGACGATAACCTGGCGGTGCCCGATGACAATGACAACGATGATGTCGACGACGAAACCGAAGCTATACTGCCCGAAAGCGACATACCCACAGCCAGCGCCAGGTCACGCATGAAACTGACGCAGCCACCGCCGCCATATTCAGCCAGGCGTAGTGTCCACAGATTGGCTGTTAAGAACGAGCCGCTGGCAGCCGACGCGGATGACTCCATGGATGAATATGCCGATGGCGAACAAAGCTATATGGACGACAATTCCGGCGAGTATCCAGACTACAGCAGCAGCAGCTACAATGCACAGAGCAGCAATCCGCTTGGCGGTGAATCCGATTTCCTGAGCTATGATGAAATGGTCGAAGAATCGCTGATTGGTGTAAGTGCAGCCAACTGCTAGCTGGTCTAGCTAATGTGAGCACCAACCAACTAAATATTCCTTATTATTTGCAGCGCGATCGGGAGCTAACCATGCACATCAAGGATCGCAAGATGATACAATTCCTGATACACTCGTACAAGCGCAATCCATTCCTCTGGGATCACAGTCACGCCCAGTTCCGGGATCGCATTAAGCGTGCACGCTTCCTTGACTGGATTGTCCTCGAGTTCAAAAACCGTTTCAATATCTCTTTGGCCAAGGATGCCATCACACGCAAATGGGATAATCTGCGCACCGTCTACAAACGCGAATGCAATCGCATGGCCCTCGAAAAGACAAACATCAGCACGCTGTGGTATTTCAAGGAGTTGCACTTTCTCAACGAGGTCTATAGCTACAATTCAAAGATGTCCGATGCCGTTGTTAAGGTAAGTCTGTCCTCGCGTATTCCATATGCAATTCGATGCCCAAAGGCAGTGCCTATATTCTCTACTGGGAACTGACATCGGATATATGTACATGATAAGCATAAACAAAAGTCGACCAAAGCGACTCTCATCTGTATTTGTAGTATTCTTAGCTTTTAGAATCCCCTCCCATAGCCGTAGACCCTGTGAGCCTAAGGCTCCGTTCGATTGCCTGTCTTACCACATCCAGCTTTGATTTAAATCATTCTGCCTTTTCACATATTCAATTTCTTATGAATTTATTGTAAACCTTACATATTTTCATAAACAAGATTCAGGCTAGATTCGATCTCTCTTCAAACTTGGCATTCACCAATTATGGTTGAATAAAGCCATAAATGAAACTCGTTTAGTTTAAGGTTCGGTTCGTGGTAAATATTTAATTTAACTTCCGTACGCAGACCCTATCTGTTAGTATTAGCTCATATTAAAATACCCTGCTACGTTTCTATCATGTGTGTTATATCAGATAACAAATTGTTAAAAAGCCTGCAAAAAAAGAGAAATGGAATGTGGAATAGCTGCTTGACAAAGAAGCGCTCTCTCTATATTTATGTAGAAATAAGTTCGTCCTGACAGACTGTCTGATTTATGGATGTGTGTGCGATTATGTATGTATTCCTTGGTAGAACCCGAACAAACAGGAATTTCAGTGATCGAGTCCCCGTAAAAGCAAATATTTAGCGACTTTCTATATGTGTGCATTTGGCTTGGATTACACAAAATATTTCGATGGCACGAATAATTGATCTCAGCTCGAAGATGTAACAAAGCCTGCTAGCTATTTAGGATACTTTAGTAACTGATGGCATATTCTTTCCCAGGAAACATCTTATAGACGTCGCTTTTCGGCCATTTGGAATGACACGTCCACCGCCAAGCTGTTGGTCATGGTGAAGCGGTATCAGTGCTTTTACAATCGTTTCGATCCCGACTATCGCAGCAAGGAGCGTCGCGGCGAGGGCCTGCAACAGATGGCGATGGAGCTGCAGCAGTTAATTGATGTGACCACCATACAGATATCGAAGCGAATCTCTCAGCTGCGTTTCGATTATTCGAAACAGAAAATGGAGCGCCTGAATGCGGAACGCCTGGGTCGAAAATTTATACCCAACTACATATATTACGATCAGATGAGCTTCATGGACGATGATATACCGCCATTCAAATGCCAGCATTGCGGCGAAATTGTGCAAACGCTGCGCGAACTGGACCTGCACATGCTCAGCCATCAGCCGAGCCTAGGCGGCGGCTACTATTGCAACGTGTGCAACATACAGTTCAATAATGCGGATGAGTTTGAGAATCACAAACAATTGCATTTGGGCGCCGGCAATGAGGTCAAATACAATTGTGAATTGTGCACCGCCAGCTTTCGGGAAAAGTCAAACTATGATGAGCATTTGCGTCGACACAACGATGAGCTTTTCCTGCCGACACTGGCCCTGAATCACAGCATACTCGACAGCGCCAGCGGTGAGGCTGACGTTGCTGCTGGCGTTGACACATCAGCTGCTGCTGGTTCTGGCGCCGGCGATGAGGAGGATATGTTTCCACCGGACGGTCCCAAGCCGTTCGGCTGTGAGGTGTGCCATCGGACATTCGCGACGCCGGGCCATCTGAATGCGCATCGGATTGTGCATCAGGATGAGCGGGAGCGTTGCTACAAGTGCGACTATCCGCAGTGCAGTAAATCGTTTGTGTCGCGGCACAGCCTGTTCGATCATCTGAAGCAACATTATAGCAACGAGGAGTTCAAATGCGATATCTGTGGCAAGATCTTCAAGTCCACCAAGAATCTGCAGAACCACAAGCAAATCCACGATAAAGTCAAGCGCTACGTCTGCCAGATATGCGGCTCGGCATTCGCCCAGGCCGCTGGCCTTTACCTGCACAAGCGTCGTCACAATCGTCCCAATGGCACCACCGGCGCCGTTGGGGGACGCTCCAGCCGCACCACGCTGTGAGCGGTCCGTACGCTAATCCTGACTCCATCATTTGCCTGAATAGACACAGACACACACACACACACAAACACACACACAGAGATACGCGAACAGTTCTAAATTATTGCAATGTCCTCCAATGCCAATGTGCGGCAGCTATTTTAAAAGCCTTTTAATGTATTTAATTAATTTTATTTGTATTATTATAGAATTCGTTTACTATTAATAATTTTATTATTTTGAATTATATATATATATAAATATATATATATATATATTAATTTTTTTTTTTTTTTTGTTAACCCATTCACATTTGTACTTAAGTTTAAAAGTATTTACAAATTGTCCGTAACTAAGCCAAGAACTTTAATAGATCTAAGACACACAAACTATATCTTATATATATACATATATAAATATATATATATATATATATATATGTATGTATATATATTTGGGCATCTGCCGTCTCGCTCGCACGGCAGCTGGAGTGCTCGTTTTGGTGGCAATGTCAACAAATTGAATGCAAACAATATTTTTTTGTCATATAAAATGTATACAAACTATATTTATATATATATATGAAACGATATGAAATGAACAATGCAAAAGACATTTCCCCCAAAATGCGCAAAATGGTGACTAAACAGATCTTCGACGAGGCAACGAGGCAAACACATTCCACACTAGTTAAATGATAAATAAGTGTCAAAAAAACGTAAAACAAAAAACAAAAAATAACAAGTATTTCTTAAAGTATTCTATGTACAATTATGTATGCATACAATCTATATTTATTTAAAATGCGTGTGCGAGTCGCGAAAACAAAACAAAACAAAAACAAAAAAGAAAAGAAAATGGAAAGAAACGGAAAAAGAAATTGTAACTGGAGTTGCGCATGCGCAGGGCCATTTAATTGAAACAACAACAACAACAAAAACAACAACAACAAAAACAAAATCATGAAAAACAGCAACAATAACAATAACAGTTACTAAGCTCAGCACTATTGCATTAACATAATTATAATACATCCAACTAGTTTTAGTTAACAACATAAACGACTGAATCTGAAAAAATACATTTACATACACATAAATATATACACATAAATATATATAAATGTAAAAACAATACAAACGAAATGAAAACAAAAAAAAAAAAAAAAAAAAACAAACAAACATATGGTAAATCAAACACACAATTTCATAAACTGCAGCAATTGCGTTAGCTTATTAAACTTGCACACTCTCTACATAATACTTCTATTATAAACATGCGATTGTTTACCATTCAAAACTTATGTCTACTGATCTAAGTAACCAAATGGTCTTTGTATTTTGAATAGTCTGCAATCCTTAGATGCCTTCTGCTAGGTTTCTTTGGGCTTCCCCCTTCTGATCCTCATACACACACACACACACACACACACACATATGCATACATTTGCATATTTCGTTATTGTATATAGTTTGAGATGTGCATTTATTGAACTGCTTGCCGCAGCTGCCTCGGTATCGCTCTTATCGATATCCAACTGCAATCGATTGCATTCGCTAACGAAGAGCGATTAAATTGCAACAATAGAAACACACACACACACACACACACGTACATGCACATGCATACATGCATACCTAATTCTGTACTTTTATAAGAAAACAAAACAAATTCAACCCTTAGCATAAGTTCATTTAGCACAATTGACAGCAACAGCAAAGTATATGTATATGTATGCAGCAGCTACTAGTATAATTAAGTATTTGGATTACAATTTGCTTACTCATATGCTTTAAGAACTAACTAATACACACACACACACACACACACACAGAGAGAGAGAGAGGGAGAGAGATGCGTTTGCCTGTGTGTGTGATTTGAAACACTTGCGTATATCAATTTGAATTTTGTTTTTGTGTTTTCTTATGACAAAACTTGCGAAATAGTTAACAGCAGCTGTAAGAGATTTGAAAACGAATTGATCCAAAATTCGTCTAAGAGGCCGTAACAAAGTGCGCTTCCTAAAACTATTTAAAAGAAAAACAGAAAGAAAAGAACGAAACAAATATTAAAAAAAAAAAAACATTTAACAATACAAATACATTAATATATACACATATACCTATTAGCATATTTATGTATACTAATTTAAGCAAAGACAAAAACAATTGCAAGACAAAAAACAAACAAACAAAAAGCAAATGGCGCATACAGAGAGATTATCATGGGCGCCAACTTCAACCACATGTGTAAATTTCAATAAAAAATATAATTAAAATTTTATTCATTTTGGAATGTGTCATCGCATATCATCAACATATACATACATATATCAGCTTGTAGAGCCCATAAGCTCCCCTCATTCAGGGCTCGAGTGGCATTCAATATGCCTCTCTGATAGTGCAAGTACTTTCGATTTTCAAACCATCCACAGATAACCACTGATAACTATAACTAACCCAATAACCAGTCCCCAGTAGAGTTCACTTTTAAGCATTCTTTTTTATCTACATATGTATATTATGAAGTGAGTGTGATATCAAGTGCATAATTCAATGCCAGACAGTTGGGGTGAAAAATCGAAATTCTAGGCAAGCTAGGCAACTAAACATTCTCGAATTAAGATACTGAAATTCTGAAAGTTCGCATTATAATATCATATAGAAGTCCAAATAAACCATAAATGCATTATTTTTCATCTAACTTATATGATTAATGAAAGGAATATGTTCAAAACATTTCGCCATATCAAATTTGCGTTCTACTTTCGAGCAATTACCGTTAGTTAATAGATTAAACTAACTTAACGCTCAAGAATCTTAAGCGCCGAAAGCTAAGCAAACAAGTTTCGGACCGTTTTTTGGCTAACTGCGTAGTTTGCGTGCTGCGTCGATAAAGCAGTTCAGACATGGCCAAGCAGTCCTTGGGCTATATTCTCTGGGCTACGATTCGCACGAGCGCATCAAATAATTTAGATCAAAATTCGCGTTAATAATTAGCACCAGCTGTCGCACAATTAGCGAATCCAAATATTAGTGGACTTTGATTTTGTTTTTGCAACGTTTTAATTAGCGTCAAGCATCACGATCATATAAACGCTCGTCGGGCCCCTTGACGCAGACGCACGATGACGCGCCGTATTTGCACCCAAGATTAGAGATGTGCGCGTGCCGGCTTTCCGAACGCAGTACAATCTACGATTCGAAAACACGCACGAACGTTTGGTACACGATTCCTATTCAACTCTCTCGCGCTTAATTTCACTTATTAAATAATAAAATTAAATTAACCTTTTTTATATAAAACGTTCGTGTCGTGTCGGTGCGTGTACATGTTATGCTAGATAAAGCAAGCACGCACTCATCTCTAGACTAGATATGAGAGCGAATACGTAGTATCGCATATAGTATATGCTAACACCGCCTGGCGACTATAAACAGCAATTTGGCTGGCGCGTGCTCGTGCCTGTTGATCTACATATGTGTGCGTGTGTGTGTGTGTGGGGTATTTATAGCGATACCAAAGAAATTTGAAATCGTATTCGGGTAGGCATGCCTTTGGTCGATCGATCGCTGAACTCTTCAAGTGGACTTGCGATTGCAGTAAATGAAAGATATTTGTTCGATTTGAGTTACTCATAGCTGGTTTGACCGGCGATAACAAATTATATTTAGCCGTCGGCTCTCATATATGTACATAACAAAACAAAAAACAAAAGAAGGTAAAATTGTTGTTTAGGTAGGTTGTTACTCTCTCTCTCTCTCTCGCTCGCTCTTTTCTGTCACCCTTTCGTTCGTTCCGAGTGTTGACACGACGACACTGCATCGCTGTCCTGGCTGGAACTGGAACTAGATTAGTTCACCGTGCTCGTTCACTTTGATGATGCGCACTCGCTCCTGTCGCTTCGATAGCACCTCATCGATATTCATGCTGCTGCCATCACTATTGGCGAACAGGCCCAGATTGTCCTTGATCAGATGATCGACGGCACAGCCATCGCACTGAAGTATGACCACACCGCTGTAGTAGGCCTCCTCGCTGATGGTCTTCGTGTTGCGCGTATTGCACAGCTTGCACAGGTAGACGATCTCCATGCGGCGCTGCATGCGACGGAACCGTTTCAGGGTTGTCGGCGACAATGAACCCTTTGGCTTAGCCCCAGCGGCATTGCCGGTTATCTCAAACGGCTTGGCCGTAAAACGGCAGGCGTCGAGTATGGAGCGCGGTATCGAGAGCGCCGTTGAGCGTTGGGCATCCTTCAGCGATTTGTCCGCATCGGCATCGGACAACGGCACTGGCGCTGGCTGTTGTGTGGCATTGAGGATCGCGTTCTGTCCATTCTGGCGTAGATAGTTGAGGGTACGCGATGTAAAAATATTGCGCAATGCATTCATTTTACATCGGCATATTAACGATTATAATGGATACGGATGTCGATATGGAGTCGGGGGGGGTTTATTCTACACCAAAATATTGCCGAACTGCACGTGTGAATTATCTGTTTGTTACTAAACTGTTTTTAGCATAAACAAACGGCGCAATTTTCTCCAGCGAGAGCGACCACGAAGGCAACACTATCAAAAGCCGACTTGCGTATCAAGTGATGGCACTATCGATAGTATCGATAATTAAGTATCGCATACAGTGGTAAAGATTGTGCAAATGTCTGCAATTGCATTTGGGTGGGCAGCCAACAAATGCGCATTCCAGAATAAATGGGGTTGTAAAATACAATGGAATACATCAGTCTAGACGAAGCACTCTTTGCTCGGTTTAGTTAAGACATTAAGTTAACTCTTAGGTTAATTCTTACACTTGTTAGATTATCAATATGATTTTCTTAAAAACGCCTACGGGTGATAAATGGATTGGAAAGTGTCAAAGCCAGCGAATACCAGCTTTTCCTAAGAAAGGCTTCAATATTTTCAAACTGTACGCCTATCGAGTGGGTAAACACAAATAACGGCCATTCGATTTTGCATTGAGTGTTGACAACGATAACAAAGTGAGGTAGCATATGTGCCTTGCTACTCGATAGTTTGTGAAATGTGCTTATCGATAGTCTTTCGATTGCCGAACCGGCAACAAGTGTAACTGACAATAAACAGAATAATGTACAATTTACGTGTACTGCGTCTACTGCGCCACAGTTTGATCACAAAGAGCACTGCTGGGACAGCAATGACACAGTCACCGCCATACCGTCTGCTGGCCAGTCAACACAAGCGAAGGCCCCAACTGGGTGCAGTGCCTTCGGATCAGCTGGAACAGCTGAAGGCTGACTATTTTGAACGGAGCAGCGAGCTGAGCAACGACGAATGGGATCGGGTGCGTAGCACACTGACCGACAGCTATAAATACATCAATGACAGCAACGTGGACGCCGTCGTACTGGGCATGTGCAGCAGTGCAGAGAAGCTGCCGTTGGCCAAAAGCTATCTGAGCTATCTGCAGGCGCAGGGCATTAAGCCCAATGCAGCGACATTGGGTCGTATGCTGCGCGTTTATAACGCCGCCTACCACACACGCACGCTCAGCGACGAGGAGCAAGCGGAAATTGTACACATCTGTGACACGCTGCAGGGCGCCCACGAGATTTTGGATGCCAGCAGCTGTGAGCATTTGATACACGGCCTGGTAGCAACCGAGCAGCACTGGCAGCGCGCTGTGCCACTGCTGGAGATGATGAAGGTGACCAGTGCACCCAGTGTAACAGCCTACAGTACGCTGGCAGCCAAGGCATTTGCCGCGGAACAGCCAGAGCTGGCCTGGCGGCTGCTCGAGGAGATGCTGCAGGCGCGCAAGCTGCCCAAGTGTGAGGTGTATCTGGCGCACTTGGCGCAAAGTGCACAGCAGGTGCAGACCCTAGGTGCACAGCTGGAGCGACTGCTGTGCTTTCTGGAACGTCACGACATTGTCATCAGCGATTTGGTCGCGCAGCAGTTGTTGGCGCTGGCGCAGCGGCTGCCGCAGCAATTGCAGGCGACGACCACGCGACTGGATCGCATGGGCAAATGTGGCGCCTGCCAGCAGCACTTGCAGCATGTGGCCATCAGCGATGCACAGTTCGCCGAACTGCGCGAATCCTTTCTGGCCAAGGTGCTCATACGCAACGACGTGTTCCAAAAGTCTACGCCGCAGGAGGTGGCACGCTTCAAGCAGTATGTGGAGCAAACTGCGCCCTACGATTGCGTCATCGATGGCCTCAATGTGGCCTACTCCACGGGCAACAAGAAGCCGCCCCAGCAGCTGGCCAAACTGCTGGCCACCGTGGTGCGTTACTTCAAGGAGCGACGCAAGCGCGTGCTTGTCCTGGGTCGCCAGCACATGCGCAACTGGTCCAGGCCGGCCATGCAGTATATACAAAACAATGCCAGTGTTTTCCTCACCAACAATCTGTGAGTATGCAACCCACAGTTGTCGCTGACCTGATGTGTACTCATGCGCTTTACCACCCGAACAGCACCCACGATGATCCGTTTCTGCTGTACGCAACGCTGCACAGCGGCCAGGATACGGACTTCTTTTCGCGGGATCTGATGCGCAGTCATGCCTTTCTGTTGGGCAGCGAACTGAAGGCCATATTCCGACGCTGGCAGCAGGAGCATCAATACTCTCTGGTCACACAAACCCAGACAGGTCAGATAATTGTCAAGGAGCCGATTAGGTATCGGTTGAGCGCCCACAAAGTGGGCAACGTTTGGCATGTGCCCTGCTGTGAGGTGTATACGGTAAATCCGTCGGAAAGCTTTGAGGTGCCAGAAAAATGGCTGTGCCTGAGCATTGCCCCAAATGTAGTATAATATAAACATGTTTATTTGAAGGGTAGTCCCCGAATCAGAACTGACAAATGTGTGCTAGATCGATGGAAAAATGTAAATGTTTTTGTTGTTTGTGTTCGCTTCTGCCCGGCAGATATCGATCTAATCGCAGTCGAGGCGGGAGCATTTGTGAAAGGCGCCATAATTGAATGTGGATTGACGCTTGCGGCGCTGCTCATTCCGGATCTTCTTTTTGGCGGCACACATTAGCCGTTCCTTAATATAGTTGTCCATCTTAAAGTCCATGTCCGCTGGCGGCTTGGGCACCTCATTCGGTTCGCGTGTGGCCGCCGTATCCAACGCCTTGATGATCAGACTGAGTAGCGCATGTGCCAGACGATGGCACACATCATACTCAATGGCATCCTGGCTGGTATAATAGATGGCCGACTGCGAGGTCGGCTGCACACCAATTGCCAGCAGTATGTTACAGAATATGCCGCGCTGCATCCGGGCATAGGGATCGACCAGCTGTGGCGGTATGCGCATTGTCGTCGCCAGATGTGCAATAAATTTGGCAAACTTCTTGATCAGCACATTGAGATATTGTGAACGGCACTGACGCTCCATCTTGGATAGCATGTTGTAGTACATCTCCTGTTTGCGCTTCAGGAAATCCTCCTTGCGTCGCTCCTTCTTCTTGGTATTCTTCAGTACATCCTCGAGCTGCCTGCAATTGTTTTCTGTTAGCATTATTGAAACCGAATCCTTGCCCATGATGTACTTACTCTGTGGTGATGGCATTGTATTTGCCCAACATGCGCTTGATGCGCTTGGCCCGCAGCTTGGGATCGTAGACTTCCTTGAACTGCTCATAGTTATCCATGAGCGTGTGTTTTTTGGGCTTTGAAAGGGCAACATCGTAGGCCCGAGCCTTGGGCGGCAGCGCCGGCTGATAGGCCATGCGTCGCACATACGACTGCAGCTTGGAGACATTCTCCTCCTGCCGTTTCTTCCGATTCTCCGGGCTGCAGTAGTCTGTATCCTCCTCTTCGGCCTCCTCCGTAGACGATGTCGGCAGAGCCTCATCCCAATCAGATACATTTGAGCTGGCCATAATTGCGTATTTGATTTAATATTTCGCTAAATTTGAATAGACACAAAATTTTGTTGAAAAAAACGAAAACAGAAGAAAAAAAAAAGTAACAAAAATAGTTTGTTTTGCTTTTCCTTTTATAACATCGAGAGAACTGGCAATTTAATGTTACGCTATCGAACATGAAATGAATTGTGTTGAAGCTGGACCCAAAGCACAACCAGTTCAAATGTCAAAGCCAACTTTGATTGCCAACAGCTTTTTCTGGTTTAAGCGAAATATTTATTGGCGAGTGTCGCCATCTTTTGCTCGAAATTGTAAGCTTTCTGTGGGGGATTCACAAATCGAAAATAAGAGACAAGCCAACGCATATTTGTATTTGTTCGACCGTTTAATCAATTCGCCAAATTAACTTATATTACAATTTCTAACGCTCTCTCACACGCAACAAATCTATAATTATTCTACACATTTACATATATATTAAATTATGTATACAATTAGCATTAGTTTCATTGCTCGCCATATTCAGTACGAATCATTTTGCACTGAACGCTCCAGGGTGAATGTATACTCCTCGGCCAGTGCATCCACCGAGAGCTGACGGGTCATCAGTGCTAAAATGCCGTCCACTTGCAACTGGGTGCCATTGAAGCGATCTTTGGTGGCCAGTTGCGGCGACAGCTCGAACGGAATGTCCTGCAGATAACTGGCTGGCGCGTTTAGATTTGGCCCACTGCCAGTTGCTGTGCGACCACCCAGCGACGGTGGATATGGCATTGGGCCGTACGCTGTTTGGGGCATGGGCGGGTATATCATGCCACCGGGCGCTGTGATGGGATCTGCGTCAGTTTTTCGCTCCACAAATATGAAATCATCGCCAACGTTTGGTTTGGTGGGCTGATCGGCGGGGCCCTGAATGGCCTCCTCGGTGGGCGTCTCGGCCGGCTTGCGTTTGCCAAACAGCGAAAACATGCTGCACCTTGATTTGTCAGCTTTAGCCAATATTTGTACTACAATTTAATATTTACGCAGTTATGACTTCAGCAGCTGCGTCTTGTTTTTGTGTTGTCAAAAGTTTGTGTATCGTTATCGATAACACAGTTAGAGGTTGTGGTCTATCGATGTTCTCACTTAACAATGCGATATGCAACAAAGTTATAGCTAAAACTGTAAATGCCTTCCCGCCAAAACGAAACAACTTTAAGTGCTGCATAAATCAACAAAAAGAGTGCAGAAGCTAACCGCCTAGTTTCAAAAATCAAAATCTGTAACAATGTTGGCCTGTAAAATGGTAAGCACATATTCCAAATATTTATTTAATAGCTCACAACAAATGCTAAGTAGAAAGAAGTGTTTTCCTTTTTCTGCATTGCGCCAAAAAAAATGATACAATTAGTTTACTTGTAATTGAGGTATTAAGGTTGGATTCGAGGGCGAAAGCAAAGATTTATTAGCGATTAAATCCATATTGCGCATTGGCTGAGGGGTAACAGTGCGCCCGCCCGCCTTAATCGGCACTCGTGCAATTTTGTGCGATATATATCGATATGTCGTGCATAACCCAGCAAGCAATTAAATGCAACGCTGTGATTGGTTTTGGTTTCAACTCTTCCAAGCTAACAAATTTTTGTTAACGAAAAAAAAGTTAAAAAGATGTCAAAAGCTGACCAGGACCCAATTGGTTCGCTGAGCATAATGGAGGTGCGTATACATCTGACAAATGTTTTGCCCACAGCCGGACGACACACAGCGATTGCCGCCAAATCGGATACAGATTGCACTGATTACAGAGATACAGACAATCTGATTGTTCCTTGTCTCGCCTTTTGCAGCAAATCAAGATACTGATCAAGCCACCGCCAAACGAGGAGGAGAAGCTGGTACAGCGCACCACCAACACGAAGCACCCGTACTATAGGCGTCCTGGACGCGGCCATAACCACGATCTATGTGATGCCTGCGAGGAGGGCGGGAATTTGCTATGCTGCGACCGTTGCCCCTCCAGCTTTCACCTACAATGCCAGTGGGTATTCCCAACCTAAAGTGCGCCCAATATACTTTACAGCTTATTTTTGTTTTTGTTTTGCTTTGGTGCATCTGTAGTGATCCGCCGCTCAGCGAGGAGGATATACCCAGTGGTCAGTGGTTATGCCATAGTTGTCGCATGGCCAAGGTGTCGCAGCCAGCGTGTTCTTCCAAGGCCAGTTCCGTGGAGCGTGTACCCTCGGCGGGCAGTGGTTCGCGCGCCAATACACCATCCTCCGGTGAACTGGAGTCGATACCGCTCAAGATTCGCAACCTGCGCAAGCGGAGCAATAGTGAACGGAATAGCACCGAAAAGTTGCTGGCCAAGATGCCGTTGGCCATACAGCGCGCTCTCGATCCGAACAGAAAGCCCACACCGCTGGACGATGTAATACGTGCCGCCAGCATGCTGAATCCGCAGCAGTTCTCGCTGCCAGCCGAATTGGAGCTGCACACCCAATTCCCGGGAAATGGTAAGGTGCAGCCGGTGCAGCCGCACACGGGCACCGGCAACGGGCATCGTAAGCCCAACAGTCAGCGACGCAACTCCAAGCCGTTCGAGCTGGACGCACAGGGTCTGGTGCCATTGCCGGCCAAGACGTGCTTCTATTGCACGCGAAGCTGTAAGCGGGCGCCGCTCATTTCGTGCGACTATTGTCCGCTGTATTATCATCAGGATTGCCTGGATCCGCCGCTCACCGCACTGCCCGCCGGCCTGTGGATGTGCCCCAATCATGTAGAGAATTTTATAGTAAGTTCATTCGTTTACATTTACCGTCCGTGTGATGCCACTGCCAATTAATTTCGGTTCGCTTCGCTTCCAGGATGCCAATATGACCAACAGCATTTCGGCCACGGAGCGTGTACGTTTGTGGAATCGCTTCCATCAGCCGCTCGATCATGAGAACGTCAAGATGGAGTTCTTTCGGCGCGTCAATACGCGGCATCCGCCGTTCCGGATGAAGTTGAGCATGCGCGCCCGCGCCCACATCGAGGTGCCGGCCATTGTGCGCTACCATTACGAGCATCCGCCGGCGCTGCTGCCCTCCATGCGGCAAACGTTGCGCTACGATCGAGTGAAGCGGCGCAAACAGTTGCCCACGGCCGTGGAGGATATATCCAGGGAGAGCGTAACCGAATCGCTGCTTAAGGATCTGGAGGCGTTGCGCTGTGCTCGTGCCAAGTTCCGGGAGATACAGAAAGAGCTCGGCAACGCCCAACTCGATGGCAGCATCAGCGACAGCGACACGGAGAGCGGCGCCGAGCAGCAGCGGGGCAGCAACGGTGTGGCTGTCACGCCCAGTTTGAGCTCGAAGCCGGAGGCAGCTGAAACGGCGGAGTGTCCAAATGTGAACAGTGAGCATAAAGAGTGTAACAAGCCAACGGCCACGGATCAGTCCAAGCCGAACAACTGTCATGTGCAACAGGATCGAGGCAGCCTGGAGATTAGCTACGAGGAGGACGAGGAGGAGTGCAAATCATCGAGTGTCATCATTGATGCGGATCTATGCCATCTGGATGTGGACATAATCAAGAAGCTAGCGCATCAGCGCCTGCAGCAGCTAGTCCACGAGCATCCCGAGATTGTTACCCAGTATAAGAATCGCACGGCAGCGCGACGGCTGCGACAGCTATCCGTGGCGGGCGCACAGCCGGAGGGCCAAACGGCGCTGCAGGGCGATCTGGCGCCGGAAGATATGCGTCGCTTCTCGCTGCTGTTCACCAGCGAAACGTCCTCAATACTCGCCCAGAAGAATGGCAACGGCGCCGACGAGGATCCGATGATGGCCCTGCATCCGGCGCTGGCAACAGCCGCCGCGATTGCGGCAGCCGATACGGCCGCCGAGAGCTATGTGCCGCGCCAGCGCAGCGACACCGAGAAGGCATACGAGCTGGCCTCGCGGCTGGAGCTGAAGCTGTTGCAGTGCAAGGTGCGTGCCCGGGCGGTGCTGACACCGCTCGGCGATATGCTCGAGGATAGCCGCTGGTTCAGCACACTGGGCCTGGAGCAATCAATATTTATGCGCTATCGCACACTGTACATCGGCTATGGCGGCCACTTTACGCCCTCAACAACACTGGCCCACACGGAAACGGTCGATCTGTCCGCTATCGGTTATTGTTCACGGATCTCGCCACAGCATGCGATTATATTCTACGATGAGTTCACCAAATCGTACGAGCTGATCAACTACTCGGAATTTGGCACCGAGGTCAATGGCCAGCTATACACATGCGATCTCACCGAGTATGCGCCCACACATGCCGGCAAACGGATGCGGCCCGATGATGCCGAACTGAAGCGACGCGTCGACGATCTGCTCGACAAGCGGCGGCACATACAGCGCCAGTACGAGCCAAAGCGTGAGGCGCACGCCAGGTGAGCCAAACCCTTCTAGGTCAAACATGTCAATACAATCTATTTGCAGACTCTCCATTTGCCTAACTCTGCTTCATTTTGCAGACATCGATAGCGCAGCAATTATCCAATTAAGTTTTCTTTTCTTCCAATTGTCGATAGCCGAAGTGCAGCGTGCCAAATCACACACACGTGACGACAAGTGTCATTTGAGCATAAACAAAGTACAGTACGCTGTTGCTGTACTCAGCCATTTTCTAGCTAAGCTTAGCTTGTTTTAGACTTAGCTCATTTTTTTGGCTGCCCCATGAATAGCCTTTTATTGCCAATCTGCCAAATTAGCTGCTTGTTTAGCTAAGCTTGGTTTTTTTCAGACTTGGCTGATTTGCTAAATCAGCCATTTTCTAGCTAAGCTTGGCCTGTTTTAGACTTAGCTCAGTTTTTGGCCTCCCCATGAATAGCCGTTTATTGCCAATCTGCCAAGTCAGCAACTTGTTTAGCTAAGCTTGGCTTTTTTCAGACTTGGCTGACTTGCTAAATCAGCCATTTTCTAGCTAAGCTTGGCCTGTTTTAGACTTAGCTCAGTTTTTGGCCTCCCCATGAATAGCCGTTTATTGCCAATCTGCCAAGTCAGCAACTTGTTTAGCTAAGCTTGGCTTTTTTCAGACTTGGCTGACTTGCTAAATCAGCCATTTTCTAGCTAAGCTTGGCCTGTTTTAGACTTAGCTCAGTTTTTGGCCTCCCCATGAATAGCCGTTTATTGCCAATCTGCCAAGTCAGCAACTTGTTTAGCTAAGCTTGGCTTTTTTCAGACTTGGCTGACTTGCTAAATCAGCCATTTTCTAGCTAAGCTTGGCCTGTTTTAGACTTAGCTCATTTTTTGGCCTCCCCATGAATAGCCGCTTATTGCCAATCTGCCAAATTAGCTACTTTCTAGCTAAGATTGGCTTTTTCAGACTTGGCTGACTTGCTAAATCAGCCATTTTGTGGCTAAACTTAGCCTAACTTAGTTCTTTTTAGCAGCTTGCTTTCTGATGCGGCAGCTGGTAACACCTTTTCTTTGAAAACTTCTTTAAGGTTGTCGATAGCACAGGGTGTTGTCTTTGTGAAGTGTCATTAGCGCATAAACAGCAAATATAAACAAAAGGTTTATATATTTTGTTTTGCTTATTTGTTTTAAAAGCAGACTGGCGCCAATTGTGAAACCCGCCTGTCGCTGCCAAAGCGCCTCGCCCGTGCGCATGGTGCCCGGCGCCTGGGAGGGCTCCGCTGTGCTGGCCCATGGCAGCCTGTTGCGTTTCGGCTGCCTCTCGTTTGTGTTCTCGGTGCCATCGACGGATATGATGAACGCGCGGCTGGCCAGTGCCAAGTGAGCCGGCCCTAGAGAGGATCACACCAAACAATATACTCCAAGCGGCGCAGCTAGCAACCATGCAAATCAATCTCAGTGATCGGCGATCGATCGCAACACACAGCCAGCAGCCCAAAATGCCGGGAATATATTCCATCCCCTCCCCCTTAAAGCATAATTCAATATACAATATACAATATAACATATACAATATAGAGTTAAACATAAGTCGGGCCAGCCCGAGTCCAATTAAATACCGTACGAATTAGACGGAGAAAGGGTGCAGGAGCGAGAGAGATAGTACGTGAGTGAGTGAGAGGGAGAGCGAGAGCGAGAGAGAAGTATGGGAAAAGCATCATGCTCTACCTTTCGGTAGCTATAAATTAAGATAGATTGCGTTTTAGAACAGTTTTTTTTTTTTTATTACATGTTTTTATTACTAGAGTATACTCAAAATCGTCGAAGTTCTTTTCTCATTCATTCACTCATCCATCCATCCATAAGCTTTATCATCAAATTCCTCTTTCTCTTCTTCTGTAGTTGTATAAAGGAGCATAACAAAAAAAATAAAAATTCAAATAACGAGTTGTAAGGAAATGGATTTCATTATTGAGTTCATATTTTATCTAAAAAAAAGAAAAAACTGGGTTTAAAAACTAAACATAAAATTTGAGTATCGAGTTAAATTTAGCTCGCATTTTGTGCAAAACAAAATAATTATAAAAAAAAATAATAATAATAAATTAAATAACATTTAAGCGCAAAATATGTTTACACACAAATTGTAAATGAGAATTGAAATTTATACAAAATACGAAAGAAAAACACACAAAAAAGAAAATATCTATGAATATATCTATCAAATTGTATGATGTATACTTGTGTATGCAGTTTTATATATATATATATATATATATATCTATATATACGGATGGCGCATGACAAATTAAGGGGGAGGCGGAGCGGCAGAGATTAAGCATTGCTTTACATCTAGATGGTAAGGCATAAGAGGAGGAGCACATAAAGTAATTTATATATATATACAAAACAGTATCGGGGCTGGCATGGAACAGCGGATAGACAGTCTATGCCAGCCCGGAATATGTTAAAGTACATAAGTACATACGGCTAGACACACTAAACAGTAACTATTGATTATATGTATATATATATGGGGGCTGCTTTAGATGATCTCGCATTAGGAATTTGTGACTACTCCGTCGTCGAGCTGCTCGTGCTCCTGTTCCGGCTGCTGCTCTGCGGCAGCTGACTTGGCCGCAGTGCGGCTGGCCCGTGAACGTTCCCATTCCAGTTTGTGCTTGCGCTTGGTGTGATGATACATATTCGACTTGGACCGAAACTCCGTCGGACAGAAGGCGCAGGTGTGCAGCTTGACGCCAGTGTGTGTGGCAAAGTGTTCCTGTAGCAGGGAATGCAAATGTAAGGCATATAAATACAGACTGAATCGAAAAGATGATTCGATTCTCGCCGGGCTGCTGTTGCTTACCTCCAGATAGCGCTTCATCTTGAATGACTTGCCGCAAACGTCGCAGGCGTACTTGGCTTTGCTCAGGCAGCGATGATTCTGGCCGGGCAGCTCGCCGCAGTTTGCACACATGGGCAGTGCCAGGCTGGGACTGGACGCGGATGTGCTCGCGGTCGTGTTCGTTGCCGTATTGTGCTTGTTGTGCAGGTGATTTTTGAGCGCGCGCTGATTGCGCAGCTGCTGGCCACAGATGCTACATGTGTAGGGCTCAGCAGCCGGAGTTGCCAATGCCGAAACGTTAGCGGGCGCGGTAGCAGGCGCCACAGCCGGTGTGCTACAGGCGGAACATAAGAAAGCAATTAATGATTGTGCTCAGATTTGGCCAGGGGCTAGGCTACGCACCTGCTTTGACTGGCTAATGCCACAGCAGCAGCAGCAGCAGCTGCTGCCGCCGCCGAGCTGGTGCTGGTGCTGACCGCAGCCATGGCTGTCAGCAGCTGCTCCTGATGCTGCTGCATGATTGTGGCACAGAAGCGCTGCTGCTGCTGTTGCGTGGCAGCTGCCACAACAGCGGCCACGGCATTATAGTTGGCCAGCAGAAGCTCGTTTTCCTTGCACGTCTGTAGCTCGCTCTTGAAGCGCTTCTCGTGAACATCGGCGAATTCCTCGTTGCTGCTGTCTTCGCTGGCGCTGCGCGCCGTATGCTGCACCTTTTTGGGCGAATGCGTCTTGCGGCGGCTGGAGCGTGTCACCCGTTTGGCGGGCGTTGGACATGTTTTGGATACCGTTAAATTGATGGCCTCCATGGGCTCACACTTGATGCTGACAATGTTGGGCGACGATGGCAGCACGTTGGGCGCAGGCAAAGACGGCGGTGCGGGCGCTGCAGCTGGAACTGGAGGTGCTGCCGACGCCGACGCCGCCGCCGCCGCTGCTGCATTCATCTTTAGTGTCGGCTGTGGTGTGCTGGTCTTCGGCTCGCTGGGCGGCACAGGCATTAATGCATCAACGGGCTTGTCGTTGTTGTCACCATTGATGGTTCTTTGGATTTGCACATTGTTGTTGCTGTTGATCTTGGCCGATTCGCGTTCGGCGCGCGCCTTTTGCCACTGTGTCGTGTGTTTGGTCTTTACGTGTGTGTACATGTTGGAGCGACAGCGGAAGGCCATGTTGCAGTAGGCGCACGCAATGGGCCGGTCGCCGGTGTGCGTGGCCACATGCTCCTCGAGATAGCGGCGCATTTTGAATGATTTCTCGCAAAACATGCAGGGAAATTTGTGCGCTGCCGCTGCCTTGGGATCGACCTTAAGGTATGATTCGTGAAATTCGGTTTCCTCTTTGACCAGAGCATCGTAAACTGTTGGAGTATCATCGCCGACCGCCTCCGTGTCAAGGTCCGGGTCCGGGTCAGGGTCAGGGTACTGCTCATAATCGATGATGGCCGTCGCATCGCCCTCCTCCGACCAGTTAACATCGCAGTCAATTTCTAAGAACTGGCTGCAGAGCGTTGTCTGCTTGTGCTCCACCAGCTTCCAGAAATTGTGGAAACTCTCCAGTTGTGCACAACAATCCGTGCAAATGGACGTCGAAATGGCATCGTCGCGCGAGAGCTATGCGCATGTGGATGAAATAACGGTTAAAACAGAACGCATTTGGGGCTGGCAACCTGGCGACCTGGCCACCTGGCCACCTGCCCACTGCACTGCACTCGGGGCACAGCGCGAACTTACACAGAGATATAAATGCGTCGATATCAATTGAACCAAATAGTTTTCCGGTATTGGCTTGTTGTCGCTGTTGCTCTCGTTGTCGGCGCCAGTGAACAGCAGCACGGCATTCTGCTCGTCCAATGTGTTCAAGCACAAGCGACAAATCATTGCGTTAACCAACTAAACGAACTCACGCAACATTAGCACTATTTTGACATTTATTTTATTTATTTCCAAAATTGCGGATGGATCTAGAGCTGGCAATACAATCGATGGCACTGTTGGCCAAAAATATCGATTGCATCTAATTACCACACTACGACTATCGATAACACGCTATCAAGCACACGCAATGCGACAATATAATATAATACTAAATATAATACTAGAAAATATGCCAAACCAAACGCAATTGTTTCGAAACTTTATTTTGACAACCTACTATAATCAATTACAATAATTTAAAATCTTGATACAGGCTACACACAGAATTCTATTCAGAGGTCGTGCTGTATGGGAAAGGCTATGGTCGTCAGCTCGCCGCCAACTGCCAGCACCTCGTAATGATAGCTACCATTGACCGTTACCATGGCGTTGGCCTTGAAGGGCACGTTAATGCAATTGAATCGGAAATTTGGAAATCTTGGCAGACCCGATACCATATCATAGCCCTCGGTCAGCTTGTTAGTCCAAACGGAAACCGTATCGAATGCGAGACCCTCACGATTGCAAAGTTTGACAGCTTCGTTCAGAGACCGAAAGGTATTTAGCGTTATAATCGCTGTGGGCTTATCGCCAAAATAGACTTGGGGGAAGTCCAGAACAATAATGGGCGATCTGGGCTTCATTCTGCCATATAACTTTTGCTTGTCGGACGGGTCGAATTCCTCTATATAAACGGTTCTACAATTCATTCGCTCTATCAGCTTAAGGGTGTTCAGAAAGTTCGGATGCTCAGGTATTCGCTCGTCCATTAGTTCCATGCGGGCACGTATTTTACGTATTATGGTCTGACGCAACGGCTCCTGCACCAGTATGCTGGCAACGAGTCCTGTGCCAATTGGATGCTTAAGATCCTTAACGGCTGCCTCGACCACCTGGTTAACATTGCCCGTCGCAAACAAAACTATTATTTGGGGGGCAACCCATTTTCTGTGGGTGCCATCCTCGGGATATAGATAGACATGTCGCTTCAGCAAATGGGAATAGATATTATCGACACCTTCTGTGATATTCGGTAAGCCCTTAAAGCGCGGCAGAATGTCACCATCCTCATCTTTTTCGGAATCAGCTTGTCCATCATTGTGATCATCCATTGGGAAACTTCAATTTTAGCTAATTTCTAGACCCTAAAACTGAAACAAACTAGATATAAATTCGGCTGAGAAATGAGTGTAAACGAAAATGTAACAAAAGTAAACAGTTTTACATATCCATGCGCTCAAAAGAAAGTTGCGGCCAGCTTCCGCTTCCTGGTCAACATGTACATACATGCATAAGCTTATAATTAAAATACTTTCACTGCTCAAAAGTTGCCATTCACCGCAAAAACGCACATTCACACCGACACACGCACACAGACAGGCCAGCCAGACAGATTGGTGGTGAGTTTTTTTTTTCTTTTTTTTTTTTTTGCTGCCCTTTGCGGCATAGGCTATACTCAACACGCGCACGCATTTGGCAACGCCTTAAGAATTTTAGATTTAACAGACTTTTTCGAAATTAAGCTATGTTTATGATGTGTGTGTGTGTGTGTGTGTGTGTGTGTGTGGCCTAACACGAGCTTTTCAATCATTTGATATTCCCACTGCTTGGCTTAGATGCAGCGAATTGTAAGGGTATGCCAGCTTCAGTTCGTTTAAGTCGGCTGGTTTTCTTTTTGTTTTGACATTCAATAGGTCGCTGGCTGTTGCGTCCATTTTGGTGGGGACGGAAAATAGCACGCTGTGTGCGTGTGTGTGTGTGTGTGTCTGTGTGTGTGTGCATGCTCGTGTGTATAAATAGCCGAGCGACCCGCAGGATTCGCTAACATTGCGTGTGCTTCGCCTCACAGAGACGCCCAAAGTTCGCTGGGCAGTCGCTCGCCAGGGCGCCTATAAATAGGCAACGCTTTAGTTGGGGCCACAAATTGAGCAGTTCGCAGCCAATTTGGGTGCTGCGTTTCGAAAGAAACATGCGAGCACAATAGCACTGCAGCATGGAGATGTCGGGCTATCAGGATATCAGCGCCTTGGAAAAATCGGTAAGAATAACAAATGCAATTAGATATCATCGTTCTGACCGCTTGTGCCCCAGGTGGCCAATGCTGGCAGCCAGCTGTATACGATGGCACACAAGCTGCACGCTGTGGAGCGCAGCTTGGATCAGACGGCAATGGAGCAAATGGATGAAATGGAGGTTATGGAGCTGCTCGAGTCCATGACCGAGGTGAAGAACGAGTATCAGAATCTGCGCAAGGACATACAGGAGGTGCAGCAATTGCAGCGTGACGTCAGCACCTCGATACGCTATCAGATGACCAACATGCAGCAGACATTTCAAATGCTAAAAAAACGCATCGCCACATCCCAGCAGCAGCGACGCCAACGGGAACAGCGACAGAGCACCACCGTGACGGCCAATCAGCATTGAGCATACTGCAGTGTACTGTAGTGTAGTGTAGTGTAGTGTAGTGTAGCGTAACGTAACGTAGTGTTGTATAGCGTGTAGTGTAATGCGTAAATGCGTTGCGTGACGGCAGGATGGGGATGGGTGTGGGGGATGGGGGATGGGCTCGTGTAATTGACCTAGGCAGGCTGTTTATGAATTAAATATGATTTTTATTGATTTTGCATGAGTTAGTTAAACTGAATTAGCGGTTGTCCGCACCCTATATAGACGCATGCATGCACACATATACATCTAGCTAAATATATATAGATAAGTGAAATATTCGTGAGTGGTTAACCTGTTGCCATACAAACCTACAAAGCCTGCACATACATATACGCACGTACATGGAAGAAGTGGTATCAAATTGTGGATATTCCTGGAAATCAGCACACAAACAAACCAAACTTTTTTACCGTCATATGTCTAAGCAATCAGAAACACGTATGTATGTGTACAACAACAATATCAAGAAGCAACAACAAGCGCTTTTCTATACACAATACAAATCCAAGAACAAGATACTTATGCTCCTAACTTGTAACTTTAACTACTTGAGAAAACACATGCATACACACATATATACTATATACTATATACACATACGTTGTAAGCAATTCTCTCGAAAACTCTAAATACTTTACGATGCAAATCCAAAATGTCTGATGCCATTTGATAAGAATGCACTTTTTCAAACAACAACAAATTTGCCTTAACATAACCATATTATACTAATTTTTGATATATACACATTTTAATATTAAACTTAAGCTTATCATTTCTATTACAATGATAGGCATTAGCGCAATATCTTTTTTGTTTTCGTATTTTTTTTTTTTCGAGTTATTTGTTGTTACTAAATTGTATAAGCAATCAGAATAAAAAGCACATAAAAACAATAAATACGATTGGAATGTTATTTGAATGCGCGCCAATATCTGTTTTGATCCCGTGCTGCTGCCAGCGATGTGGCCCTAATCGATATACGCTACGTGCATCGCTAGCAGCTGAAACGATAGTATATCGATAGTTGCAGCAGCAATTGTTTTGTGATTGTGTGTCGCGGTCGGTTCGCACTCGAATTTTAATATATGTGTTTATTTACGTGTTGCGCTTATAATTCAATTAATGTTATAGTAAATATTGTGTTGCTGCTATCAATTGAAAGCCGTTGCGGGTCAGCGTAGTGCGTTATTGGGATCGTGTGCGTGTGGTCGTGCCACAGGTCCCGCAGGTAAGTTAGAAGCGGCTCTTGACGTGCACGTCATCAAAGCCCACACGGCCGTCGCCAGTGCAAAAGAAAGCAGGAACAGTGCTGAATTACGCATTACGGCGGTCATCGTCTAGTGTGCTAAGTGCCCGTTTTAATTGCAATCGGTTTTGCATATCGGCATTTGAGAAAAGTGACCACATTCCAATTATCGACTGGCGCAACAAGTGTCTTGCGATCTCGCTTCCACTCACAGTCACATAGCCAATTGTGAACGCTGCGCGGCGCGCGCGCCTGCGCCTACGCTTTTTATTATTGTTGTCGTGTTTGTTGTTGTGGTTGTTGTTGCTGTTTACGTTGCTTACGTGTCGCGTCGCGAAATGTACGCTTGCGCTTACGTAGTGGTGCTTGCATTTACATGCCTCGCCGCCGCCAGCCCACGTCCCAGCACAGCTCCACCGGCCCACGCGCACGTCCAGGTGGTGGAGGAGGGCGCCAGCTTTTTAGATAATGCACATTATCTGAACAATGAGGAAATTGGCGAACTTTTCGCCAGCCTCAGCCGGGACTATCCGACGCTTGCCCAAACCTATAGCATTGGCCGCACCATACAGGGCCGTGAGATGCACGCCCTGGCATTGAATGCGCCGGCAACCGATGGCGACGGCGACGATCTGCTGCGTCCCATGGTCAAATTGGTGGCCAACATTCAGGGTGACGAGGCACTGGGCCGACAAATAGTGCTCTACCTGGCCGAATATCTGGCCAGCCGCTATGAGCTGGATGGCCAGGTGCAGCGTCTGCTCAACACCACCGAGATACACTTTCTGCCCAGCTGCAATCCGGATGGCTTTGCCGCCGCCAAGGTGAGTCAGCCATATTATTAGCACGAATCGAATCCAATCGAAAATTGGGTTAACAGTTCCCTGGAATGTCAACCTGATTGTTCTGTGTAAGAGTGCGCGGGTCGGCCGTGTCCGACTAGATAATACCCTGCCCTGTAGCTGAGTTTCAGCCGCTCGCCCCTGACCATGAAGTAAGTATTCTCCGGGAATCTCTTGCATTGACTCTCTAAATACTCGGTTCCTCTCGCGAGAGCAGAAAATATTTTTTTTAGGTTTTGTTCTTTTAATGAACAGCTGCAGCTGACCCCCAGCAAAAGTGAATGTACACGAGGCGTCTGAGTCATCAGATGTCTTGAGCTTGTTCCTCAATAATAATAAACTCGGGTGTATTGTGTGTGTTCCCCCTTTTTTTCTTGGGGGGGGGGGGCAGACTCTGCGCCCTTTCACAACTGAATCAAAACTGAAGAGCGTGGCAAACGAATCCAACAAATCGACTACGTGAAGCGGAACGGCAGCCGCTTTAAAAGATCACTCGGCCTAGTTTTTTGTTGTTGTGTTGAACTTGTTTGAGGTCAACTCAGCATGATCAACTAATTAGCATCTGCTGATCGCCATTGAGCTAAGTGCTTGTGTACATATATATATATATATATATATATATACATATTCATAGATCGAGTGATCCACTTGAGTGCTCTTCACTTTGAGGGGTAACTATTTTCTTTTCACTATTTGTTGTGAAGTGTTCATTTAGCTTCTGCCGAGCACTTGTAGTAATTAAATTGGCTACCTACAAGTCAAGCAAGGAGTGTAACAGTTGCGTTAACATATATTCATCATAACAGTTGACTGTTAACTAACATAATGTTAACTAACTTAACTGTTTACAGCGCAAGCTATTCTCAATGTATTCTTATAACTGGCATAATATAAAGAAAAGCGCGAATATCGATATTTATCGATTTGTAATCGATCACTCAAAACCGAAAATTGCTCTAAATTAGATAGTTATCGAATTATATTGCGAGAGCTATCGGTAATTGGCAATACTTATACCGACCCGGACATTTACCTTTACAACCTGACAAGAAAGATAATCGTATCCATCGATACAAAGTGAAAGATGATCCGAGTCATGTACAATTACACAGCTCGTATTTCTATAACACGCACAATCATTTAACTAAAGACATTTTTTAATCCTTCCGCAATTCACTTTTATTAACACTTACACTTTATCAAGCGCTATTAACACTGGTCCAACACTGCACTACAAAGTTCAAGTTCAATTTGGTTGTCCCTATGCAAATATTAGCTTTCCTCTGGCTCTCTGCGATTGCCAGCTGTCACCTTCGGCTCATTTGTGTGCTTATGCATATACATATCTTCCATATAATGCCGGCGCCCCCTTCACCTGCTCCGAACAGCCTCCGCCTTTTTCCATTCAAGTGTTTGTCGTTTGCCGGTCTTATCGCAAATACGTTATTTGTGTGTTTTTGTTCGGGTTTTTTTTTATACCCTGAACCCATTCAAAATGGGTATAAGGGTATATTGGATTTGTGCAAAATCCAAATGTATGTAACAGGCAGAAGGAAGCATCTCCGACCCCATAAAGTATATATATTCTTGATCAGCAACAATAGCCGAGTCGATCCGTATGTATGAACGCAAGGAACGCACTTGAAATTTAAGATGTAGGTGCTCCTAGTGCCTGCCGATAATCGATAACTTACTGCGTTTCCAAGCAATCGATAAAAATCGATATCGATATCCTGTTTTTTGGACAATTTTGGTAAATAATAAGAGCTAGAGTCTCCAAACTTGACATATAGCTTCTAAAATAGAATATATATATATATATATATATGCATTTGATGTTGGAAGAAGAGGGTTCAGGGTATCCCCTAGTCGGGAGCTCCCTACTAGAACATCTTACTTGTTTCATGATACCCTTTTGGAGGATTACTTTGATTTGATCTTGAAAAATGTCATAACTTACCGAAAGTTAGAACTGGAAATTGAAATTATCATTTGTATTTATTTATCTATCGATAAAAGGCATTTTTCTACAAGAGTTCCATTTGGTTTTCTACATACTTCATCCAAAATTATCATGTTATTAGGCTATAATATGTTTAGAAGTTTACTTTTTCTTGCCCAAAAAGAGCATTTCATCTTCGGCTTTTTCGCCTTCCAGATGTTTGTCGTTTTGCTCCGACTGCGATTTGTAGCACATATTGTAGAAATTGTCGTAAAGTCGCTTATCGCTCGCTTAACGGGCCGCTATTAATGGGGCCATTAACGCTTTGCGTTGGCTTTCAAATCTTATCGCGATATCGATAACATAACTGTTCTCAGCTTAACGGGATTTACGACGTCGAGCCTTAAGCTACAATCTGACCAGGGCTGCAAACTACAAATAAAAAGTTATGTGGTTCGGCTCATGGTTTGAACCAGCTCCCTGCCTGGTTCTTAATGAAACCATTTGATGCTCTATCTATCTACACCTAACGCAGAACCAGGGTTCGGTTCAGGTGGGTGTTGTCGTCAAAGACTTGTTATTAATTCCGGGCTCGAATCGTTTCGTTTCAACCTTGATGCTGACACTTGCCACTGGCAGCCTGAGGAGCTGCGATGCAGTTGGATTCTTGAATTAATCACGCCATCCGTTCGAATCCGACTCCGGCTTCGGCTCCGCCTTCGCTGACCTTTCGATGTCCGACCGATTAGATTGGCCTGTCACAAATTGGCCATAACAGCTGCCGCTGACAGCCGGCTCTATAAATAAAGGGCCAGCACACGGGGCTGGTGTCAATCTTGGACCAGTTGACGTCATCTGTTGCAACTGCCACAAGAAACTGGTTCAGCAGTCGCGAACAGAAACTACGTCAATCCAACCGGTTTCTATGCAATATTATTGTTGCCTCTCTTCTTCTTCTTCTTCTTGTTGTTGTTGTTGTTGTTGTTCTATATATATAGTCTGCACTCGGCAGCTGAGTCTCCGAATGCCCTGCTCCAGCAGGATTACAGCTCGAGCTGAAGAGCTTACTCTGCGGTTTCTTGCACGCGCCACCCAATTGAGGCATAAGCTGCTCGGCTTATCGCCGGGAACAGCCAAATGGAAGTCTTTAAAGTCTTTTAACATCTATCTGAGTAGAGCTTGATCTAAAGATTTAGCCGGAAAACTAATATACGTCCATCTAGTAATAGTACTGGAAGCATATGAAAGCCGAGTTAAGTCCCTTCAAAAGAAAATGAATTAAAACTAGAGTATTTTCCGGTGAAGCTGCTCGTTTTGGATTTTTTTTGTTTTTTTTTTATTTTTCCAAGCCGCGAGAGTACATAATATTTTCTATTTACCGTTAAGCCCATTGACAGCCATTTTCCGCTGTAAAAGCGGTTTTTCTTTGGCCACATCTCAATTGGTTTTGTTAGATTTGTTGTTGTCATTTAAGCCACATAATTATGTAGGTCATGAGTTTGAAGTCTTCTGGCACAATGGAGCACAAATTTGGCCAGCTTCAACTTTGATATTTACGGCAAATCGAGAGGCTTGCAAAAAAAGAGGTTGCACCCAAAATGGCATACGAATATGCAAAAGTGTTTATTCATTTTATACATATATTCTTGCCAAGAACTGGCGAAGAGATTGCCGAAGAGCTGCGGAACAGGTAACAGCTTGTAATACAGATCTTGCTATATGGCGACCTTTTCATATTATGTACCATGCTGATAATGATTAAACGTCGTTGGCCGGCGACACCCGCAGCGGCAGCAGCAGCGACAGCGACAGCGGCAGCGTTCTGATAAGAACCCAATAGCAAATAACCGCCTACGCTCTCTTTGCATTGTGTGTGTATTGCCCACGCAAAATGCCGTTGTGACGTCACTGGACAATGTTATCGATTTTGTTGTTTGTTTGAGGTTGGCGAAAATACAAATATCCTTTCAATTGCCGACACATGGGTCGCGTGCGTTGGCGTTCCAGACGCTGGGCGAAACTGGCGTCGGCAGCGCTGCTGGCGTCAGCAGCGCTCGCTCGCTCTTGCTAACTCTTACTCTCTCTCGGTTATCGTCGCTGCCGCCGCCGCCGTCGCCGCCACTCTCCTTGACTGACTTGCGCAGGCGCCCGACTTGCATCTGGCAACGCCGCCTACACATAGTTCGAAGAGCTGTGCCAAAAACACAGAAAACAATACAATACAATACGAAATAAAAAAAAAAAACAATGTGTAATGAAGAAACCAAACGAAGTACATACATAACATAAAAATTAAACACAATAAAAAACTGAAAACTATTAATTTGTGCTTAAACGCAACGTTGTCGCCGCAATGCGGCAATAACAATACAAAAACAAAAACAACAGAAACAGCAGCAGCAGCAGCGGTGGCGGCGGTGGCGGCGGCGGCGGCGGCAATAACAACAACAACAACAACAACAACAACAACAAAACTCGTGACTGACAAGCGCAAAGCTTCGGCGCGCTCTCTGCCGTGTAATTTCCCTACAATTATCGCACGTCGTCGCTCTCAGCAGCAGCAGCAGCAGCGTCGTCGTCGTCAGCGTCGGCAGCGACGTCGACAGCGGCAGTTGGACCGCGGGCGGGCAGCACGGGCTTAAGGCCAATCAACGCAGCAAATTTTCAAACAGTACATTTTTCGAAGCTGAGTCGAACCGATTGGAGCTGCTGCACAATAACAACACAGCCCACAATAACTGTGACCTATACGAACGCCGAGGCACGCGGGCTTCGACCTGTACCTAAGCGGCCCGCTCGCTCAATTTGCACGCCAGTGATAACTAGCAGTCGGCAGTAGCAGCAGCAGCAGCAGCAGCAGCGGAAGAACAGTTAGTTAAGAGTTAACAGTTACCAGTTGGACATTTAGCCATGATGCAGTGGATTTTTGCTCTGGCACTGTTACCGTTAGTCGCCCAGGGCTACATTTTTAAAGAGGATGAAAGCTTCCTGCAGCTGCCGCATTACACTAGCCAGGAGCAGCTGGAAGATCTGTTTGCCCGGCTCGAGAAGGCCTATCCGGAACAGGCGCGCGTTCACAGTATCGGCCGATCGCTGGAGGGGCGCAATCTGTTGGCACTGCAAATCTCGCGCAACGCACGCCAACGACCGCTGCTGACGCCGCCCGTCAAATACATTGCCAATATGCACGGCGATGAGACGGTCGGGCGGCAGCTGCTCGTCTATTTGGCCCAATATCTGTTGGGCAATTTCGAGCGTAGCCTGGAGATTGGCCAGCTGGTGAATACCACCGACATATTTCTGATGCCCACCATGAATCCCGATGGCTATGCCCTGTCCCAGGTACGTGCGCTGTCGCTGTCGCTGTCGTCACCTGTTTCCAGCAGTAAAATCAAACAAACAAAACAAAACAATACAAAAAAAAAAAAAAAAAAAAAAGACAATGAAGCAGATTAAATAATCGCATCGTGGAAAAATCGATAAGTGTGAAATTTCAGACAGACCAACCGCCCGACCACCGCCCGCCCGCCCGCCCGTGCCGCAGCTGCGTCTGCCGCATTTGTAGAATTTTTCCTGATGCCAGCGCTGACGTCGCGGCGTAACGGCTTCACAGCGCGTCGCTGCTGTTGCGCACTTGCGATTTGATTGCGTTAGGGCACAATTCTCACTCTCTCTCCCTCTCTCTCTGTCTGTCGCACGCCCCATTGTTGTTGACATATTGCGAAAGCTTGTTGCTGTTGTCTCTGAGTCGTACACTTGTTTTGTTTGCAATTAACCGTTGGGCGGTTCGGCTCTAGTAAGCACACCACTACACATGCAAGCATATGTTCATGTTCACACACACACACACACACACACACAGCCATATTGCGATAATTATGGCTATCGATATTCATTCTATAATGTTTGGCACGCACACACATACATACATGCATGCATACATATGTATGCATATAGAAACAAATAATATCGATATTAATTTAATGCAATTTTGCATTCAACCCCTCTGCTCACACACACACACACATACACAGGCTGCTGTGCTGCTGCTATCAATATTGATTTCGCCATAAATACCCCTCGCACTCATTTGCATGGCGCCGTGCGGGTTATTTTCGCCAGCTTATGCTGGTGTACCTCCAAAATTTTCGCTTGGCAATTTCGCCGCTATTTTTGGCAATTGCCCGACGCACACAACTCAACTGTGAATAGAATAGAAATTTCCCCGGATACAGGGATTTTTCTATATTATTTGTTTTTTTTTTTTAGTGTCCACTTTGTGTGATCGGCCATTGTGACTAACCTACATACGCAACACTGTATACAGGCATACGTTAATGTGCATGCATATATGCATGTATATACATATGTGTGTGTGCGTGTATTTATTCTGAACGTGCACGTTATTTGTTTGTTTATTAATGCAATCGAGTCGCGCCAATTGACTCGCCCCGTCTCGCTTGTACGTTCACACCGATTGCCGATTGATTGGCACTTGCTCCAATTGGGAATTGCGCCAATGTGCTTCTGATTGGAAACAACAGCTGAGCTCGATCGTAACTTGATTTCCCTCTTACGGCAAATGCATTGATTATGGACACTGTTGCAAAAGCTCACCTGACTGTCATATTAAAGACAAGTTTGGTCAACTCTTTGGGAGACGCGCGCGCGTCCGGCATGCCAAATACGTTTGTCCGCCTGCAAAAGCCACAAGGCCAGGGGCGGGCGCAGGTCTTCGTGCTAATAATAATTCACGTAACTTAATGAAGTAACCAAATTTACTGACTCTCTCTCTCTCTCTTCCGCTTTGTGTCTGGCAGGAGGGCAACTGTGAATCGCTGCCAAATTATGTGGGACGCGGCAATGCAGCTGGCGTCGATCTGAACCGTGACTTTCCGGATCGCCTGGAGCAACAGCATGTGAATCAGTTGCGGGCACAAAGCCGGCAACCGGAAACGGCCGCGTTGGCCGAATGGATTGTGAGCAAACCGTTTGTGCTATCGGCCAATTTTCATGGCGGCGCCGTCGTTGCAAGCTATCCGTACGACAATTCACTGTAAGTGTCCGGCTAAAGCGGCCCCAATCGAAATCCTTAGCCAAACTTGGCACATGCAATACGCAATATTTGTAGGGCGCACAACGATTGCTGCGAGGAGAGCCTCACGCCGGATGATCGCGTCTTTAAGCAGCTGGCGCACACATATTCGGACAATCATCCGATAATGAGGCGTGGCAATAACTGCAACGACAGCTTTGCGGGCGGCATCACCAACGGCGCCAACTGGTACGAGCTGTCCGGCGGCATGCAGGACTTTAATTATGCATTCAGCAATTGCTTCGAGTTGACCATTGAGCTATCCTGCTGCAAGTTTCCGGCGGCGAGCAGCCTGCCCAGCGAATGGGCGCGCAACAAGCGTCCATTACTGGAGCTGCTGAAGCAGGCGCACATCGGCATCAAGGGTCTGGTGCACGATGCCAGCGGCTATCCCATACCGGATGCTACCATCATTGTCTCCGGTCTCGAGGATAAGCCCATACGCACCTCAAAGCGCGGCGAATACTGGCGCCTGCTTACGCCCGGCATTTACAGTGTCTACGCGGCCGCCTTTGGGTAAGTCAATAGCAAGGTCATTTCATTATGAATGCTTCTGTATATCCTCGCTCTCCCTCTCTCTCTCTCTCTCTCTCTCTCCCGTGCAGTTATCAATCGAGCCCAATGCAACAGCTGCATGTGACCAATGAGAATGCGGAGGCGCTGCGCGTCGACTTCAAGCTGACGCCCGTCGAGAGCAACTTTGATGGTATTAGCAGTTATTACAATCCATACTTTTTTAGGCATTAAATGCGGCCCCCCCTCCCCAACTGCAACTGCAACTGCAACGGCAATGGCAATGGCAATGGCAATGGCAACAATGATTCCACATCTTCTTACTGCATACTGCACCAGCTGCATCGGTCAATTGCCTAACACTAGTTGAAGCATTGTTAACACTAACATTTGTAACATTTGTCACGCCCACAAACTAATGCACGCCCATCGCACACACACACACACATAGACACCGTCTAACACACACATTTTTCTTTTGTATATTTTTATTTTTTTTTTTGCTGCATTTACATAAAGTTATCGTCTTTGTTTTTGATTTCGCTTACATTTTTTTCATTTCAATATCTTATTTTCATTCAATTTTTGTCTCTTTTATCTACTGCCAGCCGCGTTTAAGTTCTCTTAAACACACGCTCTCTCCCACGCTCTCTCCCTCTCTCTCTCTCTCTCTTCCTTTTTATTGAGTGCATATCAATTTGTTGACAGAGAGAGAGAGAGAGAGAGAGAGAGAGGGAGAGGGACAACAATATTTGATTTGTATATATGAATAGGATATGACAACCCCCCTACCCCCCGCCCCCTTCCCCTCCTTCAGCCCGCCTGCAATCAAACGAGCCATAAAATGGCCAGAACGCACACCGAATACCCTGCCCACACTCTCAATCATAATTATATATATATATATATATGTATATCTGTCTATATATTATCATATTATTTAGAAGCAAGTAAAACCATGTGTAAAAATTATATAAACCCAACTAAATATCTAACCAAAATAACCTTATATACATAAACATATAAACCCTAAATATCTCCTCAGATATATATACACATACATATGTAGATATATATATATATATATATATATATATATATATATATGTGTATATATACGTGCAGCATATGTTAACAGAAGAAGATTGTTAAAATGTTATTCCTTTTTTGTATGCGAGCAACAGAAACGTCTGAAACATTGTTAACATATATTATACACATAGAAGAATCAAATATATAGATGAAGATGACAAGGCACAAAATCGAACAAAATAGTAATATATATACGAAATATCTGATAATGGCATTAACAAAGCAAACAAATATATATTTATATATACGAAAAAAGGAAAAACAAAAAAAAAAAAAAAAAAAACGAAAAAAAACGAAAAAAAAAAACAAACAAAAGGAATAATAGCCAAAATAAAATTTTTGATTTTTGCGTAGTGCGTTTTATT